GGAAAATTGTTTATGGTCACCATAGTAAGATTACCCCCCACTATGGTATGAAAATGCATTTGTACTGAAAATTTATTCAGAAATCACTGCTGTAGGTGACTTGAGATTGACTTCAAGCCACACGCCGAAAGTTGCAAAGTGAGCTAAGAAAAGATAAGGTAAAATTACAAATCAGCAGAGCAAATGCATGTTATATCCAAACTTACAATTATCTCTTCATATAAATCCAAAAGATTGGATTGGTCAAACGACTCCAAACCTGGTTACCAGCATTCGAGAGATATAAACAACATGATTCAAATTTAAAAGAGAATAATTATAGCATTTGTATTTGGATTTGTCGATGTTGTAACATAGTAATAGAAGAGTTTACATTATGTAAACTTCCACATTAAAATAATGAAAACAAAGAAGAAAAAGTATATCCCCATCACTCTAGACCAATCACCTTAACACAAGAGCTAAACGAAGAAACAATAATTGGTGAATAATAAACTCTGTCAAACTGAGCTTAATGCCAGGGTCATAGTTAACACAAAAACATGAATATCGGAAAGGTATCAACAGATTCTACACGCAGTTAGCTCGACATCAGCATTCAGAGGTTGACAAGATGTTACACTTGCTTGACCTTCGTCCAATTTTGCAATCTGATCGGAGGAACCACTCTGCCCAGCTGAATCACTGGACTTCTCGGCAGAAACAATTTGTAGGTATATAAGTTTCGTAGCTTCTTCCTGTAAATCTAGACTTCTCTTTCTGCATAATCTTCTGCCGCTCTTCATAAAACATAAAATCATCAAGGATCGATGTGCTCAGGGGGCTATCCTTGAAGATGTTTAGCATACTCATGCCCGATGCATACATAACCTCATTCATAGAAAGAAATTTAAGCAACAATGAACAAGCCCTGGCCGATAAAGAATACAATTCATCAAACATTCAAAACGATTCAAATGAAAAGACAGGAATACTAAAATAGTCATGAAGGCTATAACAAATCTAAGCTAAATATAAAATTAAAGTAATAGTTGGAATATGCTAAAAAGATTCCACCAACTAGTTTTATCCAGAAATAAAAGTTTAAATATCTACTAAGCATATGATTGGAACATATGATCATTTTTGGAGAAATGAGAAATATCACACATAATATATGACAGCAATACCCTGGACTGCAGTACTTTAGGAGAACATTTAACTCATTATGATTTCCTTAAACATCCACTTCTTTGATGATAGCAATATCAAAATTAAGTAAAAGAAAGCAGTCAAAAGTTGGCAATAGGGGATGATTTAAGGATAAAGAAAAACAAGTTGCTGCTAGAGAGGAAGTTTTAGAAGTGGCCAAAGAAGAAAAATAAGAAAGAAAAGCAAAGTGAATTAAGGAAGCATTAGCATGTGCGATCATGAGAAAATATATGTTATGAATCAATTCATCACTGTCGATCTCATCAAATGGTAAATAAAAGACCTAATTGTACCAAAACCTTGCTATTGATTGTAAAAGATGTCTCTCCCCTCTTTGTTTATATTTCTCTTAAATTGTAACTTCATCAATTTTATTTTTCTTTACATTAAGAATTTTAATGAGACCAAGAGTAACGAATTGATCCATATGACTACCAATTTTTTTCTCATTAATTAATGCAATTCACTTTGCTTCTCCAGCTTTGCTTCTTTGAATTTCATTGAGCTTTCTCTCCAATAACAATTTGTTCTCTTTGTTCTTACTCTTACTAATTTGAATATCTTTCACAATAAACGCTAGCATTTTACAAAGCTAATTCCTTTCCCCCAAAATAAAACACTCAATCAAAATATACCGTCACAACATAACCTCATTGACTTCACGCTATTACAAGACCAAAATCAACACTATGATGTCATTTTTAACTTAACTCCAAATATGCAAGATTGTTTAAGATTTTGATAATAAAGATAATGCTTCACTTAATTATTGAGTTACTTAAGGTTTAATAAAGCTCTTGTTTAAGAATGGGGTGACTAGTACAATGTTCTTGACATACCTGATTCCTTCAACTAGAAAGGATAGAGTTGTTGAAGTTTTTGCAAGAATCCACCAATATACATACGACAATTTCACAAGCACAATTAACATAAAAAAGACAAAATAAAGCAGTGGATCGAAGTAATAACTCCAAAAAGGAGAAGAAACCCAAAAGCTAATAATAATTTTTATACTTCACGCTGAATAAATAAAATAACTCACCATTTTTCGTTCCTCAACTAGCTTTGGCATCATCTTTTTTCTTCCTGCTATGGGATCCACCAACAAAACCCCTACCGACATTAAGCCCCAAAACCCAAATAACAAGTCTTTCCTCAAAATTACTCAGATAACATTAAAAAACATAAATTGATGATGATTATGCTTGCCTGAGATCCTTGTCGTTGTAGCTACCGCTTCCTAGGGGCTCTGTTTCCTTGTCGAATTCGTTGCCTTCACCGCGCTCTTCGATGCCTCTCGTTTTTGCCTTCATCTTCGCCTTCAGTAGAAGTCAGGGACCCATAATTAATCGCTCGCTAGCTTGCCGAGAGAGAAAGAAAGGGGGCAAATTTCTTTGAATACAGCGACAAAGACCGCGGAAGTTTCTGGCGGGAGCGATGCGAAGGAGGTAACTGTAGCTCACCGAAAAAATCAACGAGGAAGAAAAAAATCCAACAAAGGCACGGTTTTCGTCGATTTCATTCGGTTGGGGAAGGAAATGAGGGAGAGAGAAAAAACCTAGCTGGTGGCGGTTTGTTCTTCGATTTCTCTCTTCAGCTCTAGCAAAACAAAGCGGGGAAAAAAATCAGCGAAAACCTAAAAACCAATGTGGAGGTGAAAAATCTGACGAGGAGGCAAAGAAAAAGATTTCCACAGGGTGTTAAAGCGAACAAAACATCCCCTAAGTCAAAATAAGGCAAACTAAAAGTTGAAGAGAAGAGTGGGTTTCATGGGTCGACTATTTGGTTTTCATGGGTCAGCCCATGAGGAATTTGTCTCCAGATTTGAAAAAATTTACAATGTTTCAACATCTAATCCTTATGGCCGTGGAATATTTTTTTTATCCGAGTTCTGTTAGACCCTAGGGGGTGATTAGGGTCTTATGCTAATCTAATCTGATTTAAATGCCAATTAAAATTAATTAATAAGTTATCCTAGTAAGTATGAAATACAACAAGAATATAAGCTAGGATAATCAATATGAACAATGAGATATATCCTATATGATAGAAATATATGCAATGATATATAAACAACACAAGGGTAAATAATCTAAACAAGATAGTGGATGAAATAAATGAGAAATGCACAATTGGCGATATAAGATAAATGCAAAAACAAATACGCCAAAGATAAACTCAAACAAGCAATATGATCACGGAGTTCGAACCTTCCGTCCTACGTCTCCGCTCCCCACTCCCGGGGAGAAATCCACTATCACAACCGGGTTTTCTATGCTCACCCGAATAACGTTTACACCTCATAGTGTCGATTTTCAACGCTCACCGAACAACGTTCACTCCTCACACTCGGTTTTCTAGTTCACCGAAAACTTTACAACACACTCGGTTTCTAGCTCACCAAAAACCTTACAACACTCACAATGTAACAAATATAAATTTGTTTTCTATAATAGATGAGAACACTATGAAGCATAACTCAATGTTACAATCTCTCACAACCCTAATATACTATGTATGCAAATACAATAAGCTCATGTGGGTGTGTGTAACAATGAGATTAAAATCAAATCAACTAAACTCAAATATAAAATCTAGCTTAAGAACAATGATAATCAAACAAGTATATAAATGTAAAGCTAGAGTTTGAGTTTAGAAAACTTCTCAATTGATAACAAGAGATGGAGGGAGGATAGTTTGAAGCTCAAACTTCAACAGATAATCTCCTCAAGCTCTTGTGGAATTGATTCACAAAACTGAAATACTCAAATGCTTAAAAGCTTCTTAAAACAAACTTAAGCAAACACTAAACAAGTTTAAACCCTTGTTAAAATCTTTTAAACCATTCTCTTAGATTGCTTAGTTAGAACTGAGGTAAGGGGGGTATTTATAGAAACCCAAAAGCCAAGAGAAAGCCAAGAAAAAGACCAAAAAAACCACTCTGTAACGGCTCTAAAAACAGCCGTTGGAACTGAGTTAACAGTGCAGCGGTCGACCGGGGCGGG